ATTCGAAGGTCGGTTCCACAAGAAGACGACGGCGGATTCCTCTTGACCAGCTGTCGATTGGCTTTACTGGCAGATTCAAGCTGACGCTGTTTCCGAGGCAATCTCCTTCGATTCCGTCGTATGACGAACATCATCAGAGCAAGGTAGCATCGTCACAACAAAGTTCAAGCTAACGAGTCAAGAAAACTCACCGGCAAATCCCTAAAAAGTGTTATATATACTCTACATTTAATTCGTGTCTTTTCTACTCTTTATTGCTATTTAATTCCTTTCATTAGCTTAAACATTTTAATTGAAGGCGTGGAGACCAAAATTATGTCTCCTGTAGGATTGGTTTGATATCTTTTACGAAACTTTGTCGTGTTGTCAGAGCGACTTAATTCAATGCATCACGTTCGAATTCCTTCTTCCGTAGACTTGATGTAGTTCAAGACGCTTCACCAACATCGTTATCGGCATCTTTAGGATACCTTGCTAATCTTACCACCAAACTACGCACCAGAGACATGTGAAGTCCATCCATTTACAAAATGTCGACAACTGCCCTACAGCTGGATTCAACCCGCCTATTCTAGTGAGATCGTCCTTCGAATATCTTCTTCATACACTTTCATACGAAATGAAAGTCCCAACAATAATGACTGAATAGTTGTTCTGGTACATTCACCTCGTTTCCACCCACCTCATTGTTACAACGTTTAACTTGCTTATTTGCACAAAATCTAGACGGACGAAAGCTTAGCACCTTTTCACCGGAATCGAACGAGATTACCTCGTAAGCAGCGTCAGCATGAATCTTCCAGTAAAGCCAATCGACAGCTGGTCAAGAGGAATCCTCCGTCGTCTTCTGGTGGAACCGAGCTTCGAATCTCTTCACCCAACACTTTCACTCGAAGTGGAAGAAAGCTCAACAATATTGAGTAATCACTTTCTTGCCATCCGGACTTCAGTCCAATATGGATCCCCCAGAATCCGCCCCCTGACGCAAAGCTTAGTCATTCTTCTGCTACCAATCGGAAGCCTAACTTCACATTCTGTAGTCATTTATTAAAATAGGACTCCCATCTGATTTTATTTCGCCATGTCATCACCTTCCTCCAGTCTATGACGTCCGCTCTCAAGCTTCATTCATCGCCCCCTATTTCGGAAAGTCCTTGTTACATTGTCACGACCACTTTGTCAGAATCTGCTCTAGATGGTGATCATCACGCTTCTGTTTTCCTTGTGCAACTACCAACATTTCTTCTCTGCGTCTCAAATGTGTCAGCGAAGTCGGCCGAATCTCCACGGCCACAGTACTGGCTATCATTTTGAGTTAGAACCCAAACGAATTCCTGCGATGACCGTGTCGTTAAGTACACTCGTGATAAAGATTTTGCTCTGAACTACCGCGAGGCAAAGACATATATCCAGGTTGTGCCTCAATGCCGTATCTGATCTTGTCACCTACGCACTCTTCTACTCTGCTACTCTTAATTATCTAAACCTTTGGAATATAACCGACCTCTTCACTCCATTCTTGTGGTCTCCATTTCATCATATCGTCTCAACCTACTCTCCACCCAACCTTCGTCCAGGAGTTCAGTCTGCATCAACCGAATAAACATTTGTGTCCATAGAATAAGGTCAACTTCAAAAGGAATAGCTACAACATTATTACATTTGAAGGGCTTAATTCAGGATGTCCAGTAGCGCCTGAATACTCGGATGATTGACCAAGTTATTAACAGCTGCTTACGGGCTCTCAGAAACTCGATGATACATGGATTAACTAAGCCGACTTTTGAAGTACTCCAGCCCTGGAAATCTTTGTCAATATTTGGTCGACTGCGAATTTCAGCCGAGAGTGGCCAAGCAGTTCTTTGCGACATGAAGAAAAGTTGGGTTCCAAAGACTCTCTTAGTAGATTGATACTGGCATGCCTTTTATTTCGTTTGAGAAGGCGGGTGGAAGGGATTCATAGATTGGCCTCACCGGTTGCCGAGGGAGGGTTGCCTTGGACTTTTTCCCGTTAAATTGTGCGAAGAAGACCTTGGCTCACCGTGCTACGACCACGATGACTCCGTGCTGAGCTTTCGTCCGTCTTGTGATAGA